TATTAGCAAACATTAAATTAATTAGACTATTAATCTTCTTTAGTTACACTCAGTTTTCTTTATTTCTTATAATTAACGAATATATAAATAATCATTATATTTAGAAACTCACTTATATAAATGAAATTATGATTAATATGTATAAGTCTATTTACATAATAGTTGAATATAATAATAGTATATTTACTAAATGACCAAAAACACGAGTTTCAATCATTTTTTAGTACAACATAATAAGAAAGACAAGATTAACCGAGGTTGTTCAAACAAGCATAAGACAACTAAAAGGTATTACCGTAGCAATTGGGGTTATGGATTTTCAGTTTATGGGGGGTAGTATGGGACTCGTAGTCGGGGAGAAAAATTACCTGTTTGATTGAATACGCGAAGTTGAGATCATAAAAGTTAGTTGAGAAATTGTGATATTGGATTTTATCGACAGTGCAACTCTCGTACTTTGCCAATGTATAACTCACAAACTRTAAGTTGTAATAAGCTCGTATCTTGCAACCACTTTCATGAAGGGTCGAAAGTCATTTATGACTCTAATTGGCTCAAAACATTGTGTTTTCGAGGTTGTTTACATTGTATTTGGGATTAATTTGTTTTTTTTTTGTAAAATTCCTATAAAATATATGAATAATCAAAATGAGGTGGGTAGATTCATATATCAAAGGTAATACTGATTCTTATTAATTTAATATATAAATGTGATCATCGATTCATTTAGCTAACTTCAATAATTTTTAAAAAATTATCGTCATCGYGCAACGCGCGATGTCAAAAAACTAGTTTTACATAAATCAATTGCACTGTGGTCATGTACAGTTAGAACTTTTAAACCACAAAATATAGGATGATATCCTCGATCGGTGTTTGGCTGGTARATGCTCGGCTTGGACTCTTTGTCAAAAGTTGTCCTTTTCGGCTTTTATATACTATACATGGCAGGAAAGGAATAAGAGATTATTTGATAACCGTCAACGTTCGGTTAGTGTGTTGGTTAAGGAGATTAGAAATGTGGTGCTTCTCAGATTGGCTTGGAGAGATAGAAGGTGTAAGACTTCCGACCTCAATGTTGGGGTGTGATTGTTTCGTGGTCTTGGTTGGTGTGCTCGGGGTCTGTTGCTTTTTCCTGCGTTGGTTCGTTTGGTTTTTGTTTTGTAGTTTGTTTYTTATTTTTTGCCTGAGCCTGTTTTGACTCCTTGTAGCTTGATTTGTTGTTTCTCTGTATTTCTTTTTCTTTGGTTAGGCTTTTGTCTGGATCTCTGCTTTTGCTGTTTTTCTTTAATATATTGCCTAGAATTTTCCTCTAAAAAAATATAAGATTGTGATAGAATCAGCCATACATGTGAGTTGCCTTTTCAAAATTTAAGATTACAGTATTGTACATTAACAATTATTTCAGCTTCTTCGTACAACGACGTTTATAAAAGATGTGTTTAAACAAAAATCAGTAGTAATATACTAAACTAAATGTGTTTTTGTCGGAATTGGGTTGACGACCATATTTTAAAAGGAAGGGAATTCAATTCCYTGTACGAGGCGAGGAAGAGGACAGGATAGAAAAATACGKGATAGGAACAAGGACAAGGACCGCAAAATCCACCCCATCCGTTCGAAATATGACAGTAATTGCACATAAGCCCCTCAAGTTTCATTTCTTTCAATACCAACAAAAATAGTAACAAAATATTCGTATATTATAACTACCAATACAACTAGAGATGCACGAGTTCGGGCATTCCAAACCCACTTTTAATAAGCAAAAGAAGGCCGAGCCAAGCTTATGGCCTTGAAAATAATACTTGGCCAACTCAGACTTCAGGGCTGTTTGACAGTTGCTGAATGGTTTTGTACAAAATCATTAAGTGATCAGAATGATTAAAAGACTCATGATATTGTGCAAAATGAAATATAATTGTTTGGTAATTGTTTACAATGAAATTAGAGCTCTTAATGGTTAAGGAAGGCCCATGATACAAAATCATTCAGAAGGTTTAGTCTCACGTACGGTTCCCTGAGAAGGGAGTGGCTACCTACTGGAGCTTCGACCAATCACCACCGGTCAATTCCGCTTTGGGGCCACCCCTTACTCTACCATTATTATAGGGGTATGGGGTTCGAGACAAAGAAAGATCAAGGCAGCATATCAGCTTTTCCTTTATACTTTACTTGGATCTGTTTTTATGYTATTAGCTATTCTGTTGATTCTTTTCCAAACGGGAACCACCGATTTACAAATTTTATTAACCACAGAATTTAGTGAGCGGCGCCAAATCTTTCTATGGATTGCTTTTTTCGCCTCTTTCGCCNGAGTTCGGGCATTCCAAACCCACTTTTAATAAGCAAAAGAAGGCCGAGCCAAGCTTATGGCCTTGAAAATAATACTTGGCCAACTCAGACTTCAGAGCTGTTTGACAGTTGCTAAATGGTTTTGTGTAGAATCATTAAGTGATCAGAATGATTAAGAGGCTCTCATGATATTGTGCAAAATGAAATATAATTGTTTGGTAATTGTTTACAATGAAATTAGAGCTCTTAATGGTTAAGGAAGACCCATAATACAAAATCATTCAGAGGGTTTTAGAACCATTAAAAGACAGACTTTTTTTTGCCAAACAAGATTCACCTCTTAACAATTCAGAGATTGTTTCTTAATGGAACTATTAAGAGGTAAACAAACAACCCCTTCGTCGGCCCTAATTGGCTACGGCTTTCTATTATCTACTCCCGAGCAACAACAACGAACTATCATTGCAAAAAGCATCATAAACAAATTGACTTAATTCCATTTGCTTTGAATTTTCCAAAACAAATCAATGTAAATGTTACATGAAAATTTGGGAATAACTAAAACAAATCAACTAAAAGAATAGACTTGTATCTATAAACCCTATTAATATATCAAACACCCAACCAATTATCAAATTGCCCTACAGATGGATTCTAATAGCAAAAGAATGTTGCTTGAAATAACGCACACGATCGTCATTCCGAGCAAAAAACAATGTATAAATCAGTAACCTTTACCTCCTCTTTGACCCGCTAAGTTTGGGGTCGGTTTGGTAGTACAAAACGTCTCCGGTATCACTAACATAATGGTCTTTTTTCATGCTTGTGATGAGTTCACCGAGCAAGTGGAAAGGGAGCGGCCACGATCTTTTTGGTTCTCGATAATATTTTCCGAGCACCGGCTTTGCAGCCTCCGTCTGGAAGGAAGAAGTCATAAGAGTGTTAATAGATATGCAGGAACTTATAACGCATTCGGAAATAACAAGTAAAAGTTAAGCAAATCTTGACTTTGGGGGTCAAAAAGCACTCCTTTTTATCTTCAAAATTGCTTCACTTTTTAAAGTTTTCAAGAAAGTTTAGATCATTATGTTAATGACTTATTAGGGTGCTGACTGGAATGCAATTTCTAAAAAAATTATTTGCATACGGTATCACTTTTATGAACAAAAATACTTGGCTGAAAAGTCGGTGTGTAGCTGAGTACGCATTTTTTAGTGGTTAAAGGGACTAGGGTCTATTTGTTAATAGCTTAATGGGACTCACAGCTTATTTGGTCAGCTATGTATGATTGGTTGACAGTGGATTAATGCTATAGAAACTGGGTTATTTGGTAAGCTTCTATAGAGAGCTTAATGCAGAAAGCTAAGTCTTTTTTCTAAATTTGCCCCCCTCCCAATCAAAATACACGCTCCTTCCTCTCACAAATTAATCCACACAATAAGCTTTATCCATGCAGGCCTTAATAGAAAACCAACCAAACAGCCTCTAATTTTCACCTTGAAAATTGCAATTGATTCTTTAAACTTTTTCAATAAAGTTCAGAGAATTGAATTACCTATGAAAACAAAAGCTTGATAGAAAAACACTTCTGTTAAGCTGTAACAGAATCCATCTTGTTTTTCTCAGTTTAAAAATGATAGGTTTGACTTAAAAAAGTCAAAGTGCCGTTTTTCCCCTCGAGAACAACTTTAACTGTACAAAACCTCTAAATGAAGGTACCCATAAGTAAATAAGACATAAACATGGGATCTCATGGATGCAACTGAAAACACTTTCGGAGATAAGAAGTCAAGAAAAGGAAAAGTTTGACTTTAGGGGTCCAACGGAATAAATCTCATATCAAAATTTGCTATATTAATTTTGACTTTTTGTCAAGAATTTCCAGATGATTAAGCACACCATTATAATATATATTGCAATGGAATTTCTTTTCTGAAAATTGCTACAGATCCCATGCTATCTTTAAGAATCTAACACATAAAAAGTTTGACTAAAGCAGTCAAAGTGTGGCTTCCATTTCTTAATATAACTTCAACTTTTGCCTAGCTTCTACAAGGAGTAATTGAAAGTAAAGCCTCAAAATATTGAAAAGAAAAAACAAGAAAACAGATTATCAACGGTTTGTAGCACCAATTCATGGATGTTGGATAGTAGCGTACTTCGAAAAGATTCAAGAATCACCAAAGGGTCTTTGGCCTAGCGGTATGTGAGTCCTTGGCCTTCTAGAAGGTCAAGGGTTCAAACCTCACCAAAGGTGAGGAGGGTGTGTGAGTTTATTTGTTATATTTATCGTATATAAATATTATATACTTCATAAATAAATAAAGATTCAAGAATCACATAACAGAATCATGGCAACAGCCATTGATGCAAGCAAAATGCTAAATCCCATGTTCTATATTCAAGAATCACATCATAAAATCTTTGCAACGGTTCTGTTTTGCCTTATTTTCGGTATCATTTTTATTTTCTAAGCATGAATCAAGGATAAAACTATAAAAAAGATCGGACTCTGTTCATGATTATATAGATTTTATGAACATAGCTTCTTTTTCCCATAAGTATACGAGTCCAATTTTTGCACTTTTGAAATGCATAGCATAAGAAACATGAATGTTTTTATGATGTATGAAGGAATACTCACGGCCTCAATCAGGTGATAATGCGGGATTTGGGGAAAGAGATGGTGAATGACGTGAGTTCCAATGTCGTGATGGATGTTATTAATCCAACCGTAATCACGATCAATGGTGGTGAGTCCTCCCCTTAGATAACTCCACTCCTGCAAAATTCAACCAAATTTTTGCAAATGAGAATCACTAACATCAAAGGTCTGAAATACCCTCCAATAATTGCAAAATATGGTGAATCAAGTGGAAACAACTGCTTTACTATTTGGGGTCGAGGTCAGCTTTGCTTACATCCTACCTGAAGGTGGGATATATTGGGCTTGTTTGGTTTGGTTATGATGAATCTTGTGGGCCAAAATCGACATGTTAATACTTATAAATGAAAAAGGTAATACCTTTCCACGATACCAAGGAAGTTTATCTTCATGACCATGGTGATGCAAGTAGGTAACGAAATCCAACCACATAACGTTTATCTGAAATTGAAGTAAAAAAGAACCAATATGAGAAACTCGTTCTTCTTTTGTTTCTATTTCCCACATTAGAAGCTCGGGCTAATGGTTTTAACAACGATGGAATGGATATGAGAACTACCCAATACGGAATGCCATAGAGTTTTAGCATTTGCATTGGACCAACAACAAAGTTCAAACCGACAAGCATGGCAGCCATGGCCGTCCAACAAATTGTTGAAGTGATCACGTCTTTTTTCTCAACGGCGACAAACAAATCACTATCTGGGTGAAAGTGTGAACCACTCTTTCCGGGAGATCTATTCAACTGCAAAACAAAAATACATGCTTGTTCTTATCTTGTCTGTTCCACAAAAACCAAAAAGAAAAGGAGAAAATATTCAATATAACAATTGTACCATGTCATCTTATTGACCAATCAAAATTCACAAAAATGACAAGAAAGGCACGCTCGAGCAAGCATAGCACTCCCTCCATCCCAAAATAATGTCCACGATGAAAAAGACATGGTTTTAGAAATTTGTGACTATTACACCTTTTAATTAACTAAATGACAATTTTATCCTTAATAATAATAAGAGAATGAATTTATCCATCTCGTATCAAGGGTAGAATTGAGAAGTAGATGCTTACTTTTGAAAGTGGACATTTATTTTGGTACAAATGGTTGTAAAGAATAACTTGGCAAAAGAACAAACAAGCAAGCTTACCAAGTAAAAAGGATAAGCAAGCATTGGAAAAGGGAGGGTGAAGCGCAATGTTCGCGTCATCCAATCCAAACTCTTGAACGTTTTCTCGGATAACTGTAGAAGACAAAATCGGAAATTAAAAGAAATGATTGAAAACACGAGAACGCTACAACTAATCATAAGAACATACCGGGTGCCATGACTCATCTTTTTCCACATGCCCATGATTTTGATGATGTGTTCTATGGCTGATTCTCCTGTAATTTCGGTTCAGGTTCAGTTGCAGAGCTCTACTTGAACAATTCATTCATGAAACATCTTTTTGCAATCACAAATAATATTTACAATCTTGTTCTTCTAGGAAACAATCTCTCTGTCTATTGAGACAGAGGAAAGGTCTGCTACATCTTACCCCCTCATATCCTACTTTCAAATGGGATATACCGAGTTTGTTTGGGTTTTAGTGTTAAAATGTGTGGTTTTAGCATCATTAGATTTTGAATCATCGAATCTTGCACTTCACTTCTAAGCATCAACATACTTGAGAAATTGAAAAGAGAACAAATTCCATGTTACCAACTTTGTATGATGCATATTACTATTTACTTTTCTACTATTTGTCTTGCACTTATGTCGAAACGTCAATAAGCTAACAACCGAAATAGCTTATTGTAAACGATAGAGACTAGAAGTGGTCTGAATGGAGTTAGTTAAAGCATACCATCCATGATAAGGCACAAGAATTGAAGAATGTAGAAGATGCCCAACCACGCTATTTAGCTTCGGATTGTTTGAGAAGCTCCCGTGGCCACTACAAACACGAAACAACATCAACAAGATCAAAATCACAAAAATTCAAGCATACCCCTTTTGACTTTCGTAGTCAAACAGATGATTCCTTGAAATCGAAAATTTATGCCATTCTTTTTAATAAAAATGGCTAACATTAGCTACGCGTAGTCCGTTTCTTTATATAATATATTCATAGCATTTACTGTTTGACTACAAACATAAAACAACATTAACAAGATCAAAATCCTAGAAATTCAAGCATACCCCTTTTGACTTTTGTAGTCAAACAATTGATTCTTTTTAATCCTAAATTTACTGCCATTCTTTTTAAAGCAAAATGGTTAACATAGCTACAAATAGTCCTTTTCTTTATGTAATATACAATAGCATTTCCTGTTTCATTGCATCTAAATAAATTTCTATAGAATTTGAACTCTAAAAATGGCTAGTTTGACCATTAAAGTCAAAAGTAATAACAGAATTAAAGCATACCCTTACTGACTTTTGTAGTCAAACAGTTGATTCTTTTTAATCCCAAATTGATGGCATTCTTTTGATGCAAAATGGTTAACATTAGCTACCAGTATTCCTTCTCTTTATATAGTATATCATAGCATTTCCAACTTCATTGCATCTAGATAAATTGCTATAAACTTTGAACCCTAAAAATGACTGGTGTGACCATTAAAGTCAAAACTAATAACCTAAATTCAAGATAAATGTTAAAGATAAGAGAGAAATTATAGATTTACCAATCATGGCCAAGCACAAACAGAGCCCAAAACATGGTCCCTTGAGCAGCCCAATAAAGTGGCCAAACAAGCCAATTGTTAAGATAAGCTGCAGCTGCTGCTAAACCAAGAACAATAGCAACATCCCTTACAACATAACTCATAGACCTCCATGGATCCTTCACCCAACAATGCTTCGGAATAGCTTCCCTAATATCACCCAATTTGAATGGCGGTGGTGACCCTGCATCAAATTCATCTTCTTTCTTTACAAATTCTTCATCCGAACTGGTACTTCTATTGTCTCTTTCACCCTCTAAATGTTGTTCATCTAGTGATGGAATTCTTAATGGAGCGCTCACTTTGACTGCCCAATTTGAAAACCTAAATGGGTTCGTTGTTCTTGATGAAAAGATTGGATCTTTAGAGTGTGAAAAGATGAGTTTTGATGGGTGGGTGTTGTTGATGATAATCCCTTTTGTGGGTATGGCAAAAGATTGGGGTAAAGGTTTAATGCCACATCCTGATAACACCAATCCTGCCATTGTGAGAGACCCAGAAAGATAGTGGTTTCTTCTCCTCCCTCTTAACCCTAGATATATGTGTGTGTATATATATATATATA